AAGGCTGGCTGCTCCTTTCGGCTTCACGGGATTCGTTTCCACGGTGCACAAAAGTGCCTCAAAAAAAAAAAAGTGCAAAAGTGGAAGGCGTGCGGAAGAGGGGGCGAGTATATAACAAACTATATTTTGAGTGGAAATGTTGGGGGGTCGTCTTATACGCCGGGTCGTCTTATACGTCGGCATATACGGTACTTAACCAAGGGAGCTAGAACCATATAGTACAATAAAAGTTGCCTTGGGTTACAAATTTGTTCACTTCCCACCATTCTTGGTTTTCATAGAGCCATGATGGCGAACCTATGGCACGCGTATCAGAAGTGGCATGCAGAGCCATTTCTGCCAGCACGCAAGCCATCAGCCAGAACAGATCCATTACTCATGCACACACGCCTCCCACCAGCCAGCTGATTGTCGGGTATCTACAAGGGGCGTGCAGAAGACGCGCATGCATGCACAGGGGGCAGGTCGCGCACGCATGCACAGAGGTGCACAAGGGGGTTGCACATGCATGCACAGGGGGTGGGGGGATTGTGCTCGCATTGCATTATGGGTGCAGGCACGCATGAATGTGCGCACACACACACACTTCTGGCACGCAATGATGAAAAGATTAGCCCTCACTGTCATAGACCATTTAGAAAAAAACGACACAGTGGCCTGATAGGACGACTGCCAAAAGAGATGCAGTGGCTTACCATTTCCCTAAACTTCTGCTCTTATTTCCCAATCCATGGGGCAGTGGGAGAATGAAAAGTAATATGGAAAAGAAACAGTGTTGCTACAGGAACACTTTTTTTTTTTTTCCAAATTCAAACCTTTATTGTCAGTGCAAAACATGTGTACAATGAGATTGGTTGAGCCTCCCTTTTTGTGGGTCAATCTAGGATTTTATCTATCAACATTAAAATGATTTAACTTTGTTATCAATATTTGCATAACACAACTGATTGACAAAGGTTTCTTCCCAGCAACCCTAAACCTCTTATGGGTTAAAAGTAATCCCTCAAACTTGTTAATAAATGTAGCAGTTCATAAATCACACTACCTCTTTCTTTGACTCAGTTAAACATGCCCGGAAAACAAGACTATTCATACATTTTTCCAGATTAATCAGATTTCTTTTCTTTTAATGCCTGGTGGCTAGCAAGCAACAAAACTCTAGCTTACAACTAGCCTGTCCTTTTCATCTGAAAAATGTTTTGGGTTTTTGTCAGAGTCAGGGATATTCAGGAAATTGGAACATCAAAAAGTTCACTTTCCTAAGTTTTAAAAATATTAATTAATATCAAGTTGTTGAGGGCTCTGGCAGACACTGTGTTGTCAAGAGTACCACACTGCTGACAAAAATATGTAGACAAAAATTTGCTCAATATGTCTAATTATATGTAATTATATACATAATTATATGTATGTAATTATGGATCACAGTCTGGTGGCAATGAGTTTCTCAAAAGTTGTACCTCCCCCATTGCAGGGAGGCAGGACCTATTAGGCTGGTCCGCCCCCGTTGACTAATGGACCTGGATGGATTCCAGAAGGAGCTGGGGGTTATAACTGCAACTGTGCAGCCGAGCTCTTAGTCACTGTTTGGAATAGGAAGGTGACTGAGGCTCACCTCTCCTCACCCATAGACCTCTCTGTGCCCCGTAGTATACAGAGGAACTGAGAGGGATGAAACGCATGAGGAGGCCTCTAGAGCGCCGCTGGCGGAAGACGGAATGAACTCGATTGAATACGGGTAAGAGCTACTACTAAGGCCTACCTCGTAACGATTCGTGAAAGTGTAAATATTTCTCCACACTAATTGCATCTGCAGATAATTGCCCAGCAACCCTATTTAAAGCGAGCCTTCTCCTCCTGGGGAAGGAGGAGATTGAGGTCCACCTGAAGGGGCATGCTGAGGAATTTGCGGATTTTCTGGAAAACAAAATAACTCGACTTCATTCCCAATTAGATGTTGGCTTGGTTGATGGTCCAGTGGAAACCCCTGAGGCAGTTTCTTGCCCTGTTATCTGGGAATGGTTTGACCCTATTGCTCCCGAGGAAGCGGACAGGATCCTAGGGAGTATGCGTGCAAGCACCTGTGTTATAGACCCATGTCCCTCCTGGCTTGTGAAAACTTCCGAGGAGGTGACAGGTGAGTGGACTCTGGTGGTGATTAATGCTTCCCTACAGGAGGGGGCAGTGCCCAAGCATTTTAAGGAGGCTGTGGTCTACCCTCTTCTTAAGAAGCCATTGCTGGATTCCACCTGGTTGGATAATTTTTGACCCGTCTCCAATCTTCCCTTTTTGGGGAAGGTTGTTGAGAAGGTGGTCGCATGGAAGCTCCAGACGTTTCTGGATGAAATAGATTTATCTCAATCCCTACCAGTCAGGATTCAGGCTGGATTTGGGACAGAAACAGCACTGGTTGCACTTTTGGATGATCTCCGGCAGGAGCTGGATGGGGGTAGTGCATCCAACCTTGCTTTACTTGACCTCTCAGTGCCTTTCGCTACCATGACCATGGTATTCTCCTGGGGCAGCTTTGGGGGATGGGAGTGGGAGACCTGGTTCACTTGTGTTGTCCTGGTTCACTTCCTTCCTCTGCGGCCGCTCTCAGTCAGTATTGATAGTTGGGGAAGGATCCAGCCCTTGCCCACTGCTTTACAGGGTTCCGCAGGGCTCGGTATTCTCTCCATTCCTGTTCAACATTTATATGAAGCAGCTGGGTGAGGTCATCTGTCACCATGGACTGAGGTATCACCAATATGCTGATATTACTCAGCTGTATGTCTCGGCCCATGGTGAGTTAAGTGATGCTGTGTCCTCCCTCTCACAGTGCCTGGAGGCTGTTAGGGGATGGATGGGGAACAACAGGTTTAAACTAAAACCTTGTGAGACCAAGTGGCTCTGGATTGGGGTTCGTTGGCTCAGGGAGAATTGCCACTTTTGGTCTTAGATGGGGTGGCACTACCCCAAACAGACCCTGTGTGTAATCTAGGGGTTTTTGTGGACTCACAACTCCTGCTCTAAAAGCAGGTGGCTGTTGTGGCCAGGAGGGCCTTTGCGCAACTGTGGGTTGTGCACCAATTTTCCTGGACCTTTTCCTGGACCAACAGTCCCTACTCACAGTCACTCATGCCCTGATCACTTCCTGTCTTGACTATTGCAATGTGCTCTACGTGGGGCTGCCCTTGAAGAGCATCCAGAAGCTCCAGTTGGTGCAAAATCAGTGGTGGATTTCAAAAAATTTTATTACCGTTTCTGTGGGTGGCTTGGTGGGTGTGGCAAGGGAAGGATAATATAAAATCTCCAGTCAGAGGTGGTATTTGCTGGTTCTCCGAACTACTCAAAATTTCTGCTACAGGTTCTCCAGAGTTGGTCAGAATCTGCTGAATACCACCTCTATGCAAAATGCAGCAGCCTGCATAGTTTTGTGCAGATCCTAGCATGCACATGTATCACCTCTCCTGCAGGAGCTGCACTGGTTGCCAATTTGCTTCCAGGTGCAATTTAAGGTGCTGGTTGTCACCTTTAAAGCCCTTCATGGCTTGGGGCCAGGTTATCTGAGGGACTGTCTCTTGCCGGTCACATCTACCCGACCCATCAGAGCAGGGAGGCAGGAAATGTTGCGGGTCCCATCCCCAAGGGAGATACACCTGGTGGGACCCAGAAGAAGGGCCTTCTCTGTGGTGGCTCCCTCTCTCAGGAACATCATTCCCCCAGATTAGAACAGCCCCCACTCTAATACTCTTCCAGAAGGCACTGAAGACTTGGTTCTGCCAGCAGGCCTGGGGAACCCAGAGCGGGATGGAGCCCATTAAATGGCTCATGTGATCTGCTGTCGCCAGGGCGGGGTGGGTGGGAGTTGGGGAGTTGATTTTGTTATATTGTACTATATTTATTTGATTCTTTTTGTTAGTTTTTTAACAGGCAGCAATATAAATTTAGTAAGTAAATAAATACATACGTACCCTTGTATTTTCACAAAAGTATAAATCCATCATATCAGAAACTGTTATCTAAGAGTTTTTTTTTTTTGTTTCACAATATCTATAATGCTTTTCTACCCTCATTGTTTAACTGAATGCACTGTTGGGGAGTCTCACTGAAATTCAATATTCTAAGCCTTGACTTAGACATATTCTGGCCTGTGACCATAATAAATATTTGATTTGATCTGATCTGAGTAAGTCTTGACAAAAACACAAATATTTATTTCTTTATTTTGTATCCAAGACCACAAGTGAAACCTGATGTAACAGCTCAATAAAAAAATAATTATTGGCCTTGTTTCACAAAATCTCAAATTTCATTGAACAAAATACTGAATGATAAAGCTAAAGCTATTCATGTACCTTCCCCTTTCCATGTTACAGAATACAGCAAAGAAACAAATTGAACTTATAACTTCTGCTGGTTTCATTGATGCCGTCAATTCCATTTTCATAAAGGGTGTGTGTGTGTGTGTGTGTGTGTGTTTTGCAAAATTACAGAAGTGACTTACCATTGTCTTTCCTGAAAACAAGATTATTGCACTGGTTGCGTTTTAGGTATTTTCATTCTTGCTGCAGCATACTTCTTTTGGTCTCTCGTTTACTGAATTTGTGTCTTATCTTTGCCCAACTAATTAACTATTCTGCATTAATGTCTGCATTAACAATTAACTATATTAATTAATATAGCCTTTGGCAATATTATTGTAGGCTAGTCTAGAAATGTGTCATTCATATATAATTCATACAAATGGGAAATGCAGAGTTTAGTTTGAAAATACAACTGGTTCATAGGAAAGGACACTCAATGTCCCAATTACACCCAAGTTTGATCTTTAGTTTTCAAGAGATACTACCATTGTAAGATTGGGACTGAAAAAACCCTCTCTCACAGCAGAGAAAAGCTCACAATACTTGCAACAGCAAACACTGAATATTATATACTTTCACCTTATTTTGCGAAACAGTTCTTCATTTTGCTCCTTCTTTCTGCATTATTTATGTCTACAAAGGCTACTATTTTATCTGGGATGTGTTAACCAGAATTTTTTTTTTATGACTAGATACTTCAGGTTTAGAGAGAGAGAGAGAGGAAATGCCCTCATGTCTATAAAAGGGGAGTGTGACCGAATCAGTCTTAAGAACAATATACAAAAGGGGAAACAGTTGCATATGAAATGTACCGTCACAAAGAACACAGCAGAGGACTTAATGAAGTAGCAAAACGTAAGTATAGCTAACATTGTTTTTTAATAGATTAATTATTGTGAAGCATGAATATTAAACATCAGTAGTTCATCAAAGCAAACAAATGAACAGCAGGCTTTTATTCTGGGATTATAATTAGCTTTTATTTGAATAGCAAAAATGTAAGGATTAACTACAGCCAACTATTTAAAAAACCATCATATGGCAAAGCAAAAAGTCACAGAGACAATTTACGTTAACCTGTTTTGGCTTTGTTCTAAGATAAATATTATTAAAATAAAAGGCAACTTTTGGAATTTCCTTTCAGTGCTTAAAATGTCATATATCCTCCATAAAATGTTTTATTATATTTCATCTTTATATGGCATTAAACATTTGGAAAAGTCATCTTGCTTTCTCTAGAATATTGTATACAGTCAAAGTTCTGCCCAGAAATATGTCTCATTGAATAGAGTGGTGTCTACTCCTATTTCATGGGTCTTGGACTCATTGTATGCTGGACTAACTGAATTCCTGTAGTATCTCTCTGGATAGTTAATTGAACCAAAAGTACTTGAAAGATCTTAAAAAGGCAGTAGATTTATAGGCGGCTGATACCACTTTTGGGGGAGCATGCTAGTATGAAGCATATTGATGACATTTATCTAACAAATTTCTCTTTTAGGATAACTCCAGTTTGAAAATTGTAGATATTCTTTTGGGGGAAAGTCATGAAAAAGAAGACAATCTTTGGATCAGGTTATTGCTAATCACCCAAGTCTCCTGTCAGAGGAGATTAGATTGTTGAAAATTGCCCCTGGAGTATACTTAAAGTCTATCTTGATTTCACAATTGGGTCCAGATGCATCAGCAACATAAAACTCCAAAACTATTGTCAATATTAGTATGTAAATCTTTTGCATGGCACTTTTTTTAAAAGTGAAAAATTAATGAGTAGAGTTAAGGTAGATACTAGCAACAATTCTGGAATAACAAGTTGAAACAAATTCAATAGGTACGGGTTTAAAAGAATACAAAATATGCTTCTTGTGATGTTAAAACTATTAAAAAAACAACTTTCAGATTTATTGGACACCTCAGAGAATGTCTTCAAAAAGTTAGCAGTCAACCTCAATATGATGACCGTGCAGAGTGGTAAAGAGGATATAAGCTTCTCCTAACATTGCCCGTTTTGGTTTAACATCCTTAGACTGATAATATGTTGTGTACAATATGGCTTATAGATTGAAATATTCTCTTGAACTGTATACCAAGTATTTGGAATTTATATTAAGAGCTATGCCTTTACCAGACTAATATTTCCAGCAAACGATGTTGCAAATACAATGCTGAAAATGCAGTGCAACCCCAGAAGTACTATCTTGGATGAAATACCTATAAACACTTCTGCCTAAATTGTTTTCTGACAATATAATGGAAAATTTAATCATTATTATTCTGCATGATCAAGGACTAATGATAGTCTTACTGACTGTATAAAATATTTTTTTGATTTTCTTTATTTTTTTTTCTGGTGGTTTTTTACATTAAAGCAGTTAAAATGCACTATATCACATATATTTTACATTTAAGTTAACAGTGTTCACATAGAATTTAATTTCAATGCATATGATGTAGTTTCATGGAATTTTATTTGGAAAAAAACTGCAAATCTATCTTTCAAGAAATTCTGACTATTATAAAAAAACATAGACTCAAGTTTTGACGGCTAAGTATCAGTTTAAGGGACTAATTAACATCTATGTTATAGAAGCATATCCCGTAGCAATAGCAATAGCATTTAAATACCGCTTCATAGTGCTTTACAGCCATCTCTAAGCAATTAACCGAATCGGCATATTGCCTCCAACAATCCTTATTTTACCGACCTCGGAAGGTCTGAAGGTTGAGTCAACCTTGAGCCGTTCAGAATCGAACTCCTGTAGTGAGCCATGAGTTAGTCTGCAATACTGCATTCTAACCACTGCTCCACTGCTCTACCACGGCTCTTATCCCATAGCCATTCATATTAAAAACACAAATGAAATGCAAGCCAGATTTAAAACAAGATGCCTATACTTCTCATCAACCATTTTCATATAAAAGCAAACAGAATGATCTGCTCCTGAAATTTAAATAAAACTGATTTATTAACATTTTGAGCAAGAATAAATAATTAAAAGCCATAAATATAAAATAAAAATGTCCAACTGCCAACAAAGAGTAACTGGCTTTATGGGGGTTGCAGTGTATGAAAAATTGACATAAATTTTTTATATTGAAAAACTGGAAAAGAAGCACAGCAACAAAAGAAAGCTATAGACAAGAAAACACAGAGGCTCCCTGCCACTCCGGCTCCTGTTTGTCTTTATGATTTTTGGGTGGGCAGTTCCATGTTAGCTAACAGACTGTGCTGACAGGGTTACTGTTATGCAACAACATTTCTAACATTACTTCTAATATTAAAACTACTAAAATCCCATATATTAGAATTAACTCTATATTAAAATTTGGAGAAAGCCGCATATGTCAAGCACCAGGGAAATCAAGAGATCCAGGAGATCCAGTTATCCAGAGTATAAGGATTTATTACAAGCTTAAGCTCTCTACAAAAATCTCACATACTAACGGTCAAGTGAAATGTGTGGGAATAAGAAGGCATTCCAAGTGGGCTGGGCTTAGATCTCTTATTAGCGAGCAGGGATTGATGACTTATGATGCATTTGACCCCTCCCTCGGACTCAGCCTAGTCATCTCCTATATCATACTTGAAACCTGTTTTACATTAAGAGCATCCAATGCCCCAAATTAAAATAGCTATGGCAATATATCCTCTTTCTTACTTTTCTCTACCTGTTGTCCTTGTTTTTCACCTTTTTCTAAACTAATATTTAATTTAAAAACATGTAATAAAATACAAGTCCTGCAAGCTCCTTCATTTCAACAGGCCTTGTTCCTTATTCCAGAATACGTATCTATGATGGGTAAGTTCAAAAGTAAACTCAGTACAAAGTGGACTAATATCCTGCTTACATTAATGATGATGTAAGAATGGTGTAATACTGTTAAGCAACTTGGTTTTCTAACTGTACACTTGATAGAACAAAATTAAAAAGTTCATGAAAGCCTAGAAGTGAAAAGACCAAAAACTCATTGGGTCTTTATAATTCTTTATAACTATCTCCTCTGCTATTGCTCAGTCTACTAATCCAATGTAACTTATTTTTAAGGATATTTTTAGTTTTATTGTTGTGCTTAAAAATTCTAGGCCGCCTCAAATAGTTTTTATAATAGAAAGATGATTTTTTTGATAAATATGATAATGAGCAGAGACCTTTAATTTGGACACACATAATCAACTTCTTTAGCATGCAAAATATTTCTAATATTGAAATCCTGTCAATAGAGAAAAGTTAACATTAACTGAAACTAAAAATCTAAATACCACATATTTTTTGTGACAGCACAAAATAGAATTTCAATATGCAGTAGTGTTTTTTATTACTGTCCTAATGTTTTTAATCACCAATCATTTTCTCCCTATTATTTATCTCTTTATTTAATTCAATAAACATTTACAAATTGATTTTAGATGACTTTTTAGGGGAAGGAGAGGGGAAAGGATTCAGTGATATTTCACTTTCAGAAAGCATATTTTTCCATTCATAACTTTATACCTTTATTTATTAAACTGAACCTAATATAGCACATGTGTTAATACTTAAGAAAGGATAGCCCTGGTGTTTTCAGCTTCCAAACTATTGCTATCATCTTATTTTAAAATTACCTATGATTACCTAATAGTGTTCAATCAAAAAGTATTTGCATATTAAGAAGATGGAATTTTGTTTTGTTTCTGAAATGAAGAGACAATTTCATACTATCTAATTTCTGGACTTCTAAAATACTTAGCTAGCTATTAAAAAAACAGAACGTCTGAATTCATCCTAACATTTTTTCTGTTTCTTTTGTCACTTTTTCTAGGCCTTCTGAACTTTGAGTCATATTAACCATGGGAACAATCTTTCTATCTTCTACAACAAATCAAACTCAAAATGAAACTTGTGATTTATATGAACATAAAGATTCAGCAAGTATTTTATTGCCTATTTTCTACAGTGTTCTTTTCGTAATTGCAGTACTTGGAAATGGACTTGCTCTCATTGTGATTGTAAAAAATAGGAAAAAAATCAATTCAACCACTATTTACTCAACAAATCTTGTTGTGTCAGACCTTCTTTTTACAACAGCTTTACCTGCAAGAATAGTATACTATGCACTGGGTTTCCATTGGCCATTGGGAGAGGTACTCTGTAAAATTACAGCCCTTTTCTTTTATATCAACATTTATGCAGCTGTGAATTTTATGACATGCTTGAGTATCGATAGATTTGTAGCCGTGGTTCATCCTTTAAAAACCAAGTTCAGAAAAGTTAAAAGTGCAACATACATTTTTTGCTTTGTGTGGTTTCTTGTATTTGCCCAAACTCTCCCATTGCTTACACTACCCATGTCACACAAAGAAGAAAAAAGGGTGACGTGCATGGAATATCCAAACTTTGAAAAAATTGAACAACTCCCTCTGATGCTTCTAGTTGCCTGTTTACTTGGATATGTGATTCCCCTTGGAATTACAATAATCTGTTATTCAAAAATCAGTTACAAACTCTGTCAAACTGCAAAGCAAAACCCACTAGCAGAAAAATCAGGAACAAACAAAAAGGCAATTAATACAATTATCTTCATCATCGTTGTATTTGTAATCTGTCTTACTCCTTATCATCTTGCCATTATTATATACATGATTAAGAAGCTTGTGCAAGGAAATATTCCCTGCAGCCATCAGAAGATCTTTCAAAAGACGCTCCATTATACTGTGTTCCTGATGAACTTAAATTGCTGCATGGATCCTTTCATCTATTTCTTTGCTTGCAAAGGATACAAAAGGACAATAATGAAAATACTGAGGCGTCAAGGAAGCATTTCAGAATCAAGTGCTGCCAGAACTGTTGCTGATGAAAGCTCCCGGGATGTTGGAGACACAAAACTAATTCCCCTTTCAACATCTTTAAATGGAAAAAGGTTAACCCAAGCCCTTTCATTTTGAACATGCCTCCAGAATTTGATTTCAAAAATGCTGGAAATAGCAAGAATCATCATAGCAAGAAAGGCAAAGAAAGAAGAGAGAAAAATCCAATTGTACATTTTTTTTAAAAAAATCTACCATTTGATTTTTTTAGGAGTGAAGCAGAAGATGGATTACGCAACGTATCATTACCACAGATATTTGATTTAATAATATTTGGGGTTTTCCAAATAATGTTGGTTTTTTTTATCTTGCTCTCATGTCATTTCTCCTTGCAAAATAATATGTACCGTATACTTCTATTTTGGGATCCTATTACCCAAGTTCTCAGGAGGAAAGCAACCAGTTTAATGGGTTTAAAAACCAGACTCTAAACAATATACCTTGAATTGGCAAAATAACATGTGACAGATATGCAAAAGGGAATATTTAACATTTTCTTTTTCACATCTATATATGAAATAGATTTAATTATATAATATCCCATATAAATCATTTAATTATAAACAGTTTTGTTTCTCAGGAGGAAGTATGTAGATAGCTTTAGGCAATTTACTATATTGTTAGAAAACAACCCCCAAGCTTTTAAATAACTTACTGAACACTGGATCCTATGTTTCGTTTGATTATTCCATGATAACTTTAAGATATCTAACCTACATAGTTTAAAGTTCATGTAACAAAAGCAGCTGAACTTCTAGGGTGGAAGGCTGAAAGTCTCAAACCTCCTCTCCATGGGTGGGATTCAAAATTTTTAACAACTGGTTCTGTGGGCGTGGCTAAGGTGGTGGGCGTGGCTTGTTGGTCATGTGACTGGGTGGACATTGCTTGATGGTCATGTTATTGGCTGGATGTGGCCAACTCAATATCACTCACATCAAGGCATGCATCTCCTCGCCTGGCCTCTCATGACTGTGGGGATGCTGCAACAGTCGTAAGTGTGAAAAATGGTCATAAGTCACTTTTTTCAGTGCCATTGTAACTTTGAATGGTCACTCCACACAAGCAAAGAAAGGGAAAAAAATCTCCAGAGATGTTCCTGAGACAGGAAGTCTAGTCCTGCCAAGAATGTAATAAGAGTTAATTGAGAGGCAGTTTCTGTAAGCAACACCAGAATGTTTCCTTCCTGCCTTCCTTACAGGATTAGGCCAGTAATTTTTTCTGACAACTGGTTCTCCGAACTGCTTAGAATGTTAACAACCGGTTCTACCGAATAGGTGCGAACTGGTAGAATCCCACCCCTGCTCCTCTCACAGAAGCTCTCTTGTGTTTTCACAAACAGGCACACTCTTAAGGCAGTGTCTTACAATTTCTGCCATTGTGCTTCAGTTTGTATCCTTTCCCAAGCAATAAATATAGGATTTTACAACCTCTGCCACCTTTCTGTCTATTAAAAGATAAAAATGGTTTTAAAAAAGGTTAAAATGTAAATGGATGAAATAATTTGAATAGTACTGCTTTCTAGTTTAACAATGAAAAGGAGCATGGCTAGAAGGTTTAGCATTTAGATGTGTGTGTATGGGGGAGATCAGGCCAATCTCATAAGAGATGAAGAAAATCAAACATTATTTTAAAACACGTAGAACATTTCAACTTCAAGTATTAATACTTTCTTTTGCAAGAAAGAAATACAGGCACTCCTCATTTAGTGACCTCGGTTAGCAACTATTCACAAATAAAAAAGTAACAAAATTCATTTTCTGACCAATGCATGCATTGACAACCAAATTTTGTGCTTCTGACAACACATTCCAGTGACAGTAATACTGACTTAGCTGCTCAACGAATCTTTATCTGAATGAAGCAACAGCAATCAGCGATCTCTCTATCATGGGTTCATTTAGTGATCATTTCACTTAATGATTTGATCAATAGAACGGAACATAGTCACTAAACGAGAAGTGGGTGTACAGATAAAATGCTTTCAGAAGATCACAGGGTGCTATTAGTCTGCTGATGGGAGTGGCTTGGTGGGCATGGCAGGGGAAGGATAGTGCAAAATCTTCATTCCCTCCCTCCCCACCCCACTAACCTGCTTTCCAGCTCCGTCTCCTGTGCAGGGCAACAAAAGAAGACCCAGCCTATCAGCTGGGACTCGGGAGGCAGAGAATAGATGGGGGCGGGGCCAGTCAGAGGTGGCATTTGCCGGTTCTCCGAACTACTCAAAATTTCCGCTACCGGTTCTCCAAAACTGGTCAGAACCTGCTGGATGCCACCTCTGCCTCCCCCAAAAAAGAATAGATACAAATAATTCCTTGTGTGTCCAATCACACTTGGCCAATAAAGAATTCTAATTCTTACTATGTTAATAGTCAGGCAACTGGCAATATAATGCCTATCCAGGAATATAAGAACACTGTCTATGTAACATAGGGCTATTATTCTTGGGCTACAAAGTGTGCATAACTACAGGTGGTCTTACTGGTAAACTTACAGCCATTCATTTAGTAACTGTTCAAAGTTACAACGGCACTGAAAAAAATGATTTATAATCCTTTTTCACACTTACAATCATTGCAGCATCCCCATGGTCATGTGATTAAAATTAAGATGATTGGCAATTGACTCATATTTATGATGGTTGCAATGTTCCGAGGACATGTGATCACATTTTGCAAACTTCTGACAAATAAAGTCAATGGGGAAGCCAGATTTACTGAACAACCATGTAACTCAGTGGTCCCCAACCTTTTTTGTACCAGGGACCAGTTTCATGCAGAAACACTTTTTCAAGGACTGGGTAGGGGCAGTGGAGTCCGAGTTTGGTGGTTTGCTTGCAGACATTTCATTACCTGACTAGGTAACATCTGATGTTGTTACCTAGTCAGGTAATAAAACGTCTGCCAGCAAACCACCAAGTTCAGGGAGCGCCAAGGCCTCCTCATTGCAACCCTGAGCGACAGATATTCTCTTCTATTGGGACATTTAAAACGGAGGGTTTCAGCTGCAGATTCAGGAACTGCGCCTGGCTGAGGAGCGCCTTCAAAACTGAGCGCTGGGCGGCGGCGGCCCACGGCTGTCTCCGCAGCTCAGGACAAGTCCCTGCAGGACGGCTGAGAAGCCCCGCCTCTCGGCCCTTCCTTCCTCAGCCTCATCCCTCAGGTGTCTCCCTCCCTTTAATAACTATTCGCCTCTTTTTCTCAGCCGAAGCTGCTCCGAAACAACCAGAAACGAAGGCAGGCAGGCAAGCAGGCAGAACGGAGCACTGGATTGAACCGCGGGCGGCGGGGTGGGGGTGAACCGGCGCTTCGGAGGAGCTGCGCTGACAGGAAAAGCCACCCTGCCGGCTTCTTTGAAGCAGTTTCTTCCTGGGCTGGTGGAGGAGCGAGAGAGCGACTGAGAGAGGAACGAGGCGGGAGGAAACTGAAGCCACTGAGCTGGAGAGCAGGACATTCTTTGCGGCCCGGTACAAAATGATCCACGGACCGGTACCGGTCTGGGGCCCGGTGGTTGGGGACCCCTGATGTAACTAACTTAACAACAGCAAAGATTCACTTAATAACTATGGCAAGAAAATGGGTCATAAAATGGGGCAAAATTCACAACTGTCTTGCTTAACAAGGGAACTTTGGGGCTTAATTGTAAGTCGAAGACCACCTGTACTAGACAGCAGGAAAGGGGAAAGCTCTTCATTTCTCCTTCCTGCCATCTACTGGTTTTCTCAGAGCCAATATGGTGATCCTATTTATCAACAATGCACCTGATCAGAAATGTATGTTACACATATGCTGCACTCAAATCTATAAATATGCTTCATGCTGACATAGAGCTAAGAACAGTTAGACAGATGTTAAGCAATCAAAAGAAATCATACCAAGACAGTATTGCAGAAAATACATTTTTCCTATTTAGTGGGAAGCCGGTCATTTATCCAACAGAAAAACTGTAATTGAGTCATTTCTATAATTGTGTAGCAAACAAAATGGAGAAGTGGGGAGGGTAACTGTTTTATCTTCTGCAATATCTGCTGTCAAGAATTCTTTGTTGTAATCTTGTTTTAATACCTGTTTGTTTTGCATCAGTTTGTTCCTGTTTATCTTAATCATAGAACTGTTTGTATCTTCTACGTTTCTATATGGTGCTCTTCACTTTCATAATCAGGTTATTCTTTCTCGGGTGGCCTTGTTCTCGTAAACCCAATAATATATATATGGAGAGCTTTGTTTTTATCGGGGCTAAGAAAGATAAGATGTAAAAAATAAGCATTATTTTTAAAGTTCCAAGTATTTGATAAAAGAATAGATTGGTTCCTGAGTGGTTAGGTGAAAAATTCAAATTTATGCAGGAATTGAAAATTTCAATAAAGGGGTGAAGCCTAGAAAGACAATTGCTGACGTAACAGTGATTTTATCTGTATATTGGTAAAACTCTTGTGTCTGTTTGATACTTTGTAACCTTCAACTAGACGAAATGCTGCAATATAGAGCAAAACTTTGCCAACAAAAGCCAAGTTAGCTCAAACGGACTAGCTTACAGAATGCCTCTGAGACTCATGATTCCTGAGGAACTGAAATTTGTAGAATTTTTTTGCCACCTCAGCACTGCTGTCATACTACCACGATTAACTGCGTTCATGTAAATCCCCATTTTCAATGATTCCTTACAGCCTCCCACAAGCCACGGAGAAACCAAAAGCAACTGATACGATTGACGATTCTCCGACACTTCTTGCCGCCTTCCCACAAGCAAGGTGGAAAGCTTGCAGGGAGAAAGTCAAGAGAGAAATGGTCCAGTCCCTCTGTCCTCATACTGAGCCACCCATTTGTGCCTTCTCCCACCTGGCAGCAGCCGGGGAAAGGAAAAGAATATTTCCAGTACTCACTGCCAGTTTCCCACAGGAAACTCAATGGGGAAGGTGACTGGAAGTCGAAAGTCACTCCCACTTCCACTGTTTTTTTCTGATTTTTTAAAATCCGCCCTATTGTCATTGTTTAGGTAAAAAAATATCTCTGAAATGATGACCAAATGTATAATGGGTTTACTGGCATGTTACATAAAGGGAGTGTTTATTCTGATGTAATAAATAGTTGTGGATGGTACCTAAAATTGGTTGCTCTCCAACAAAACTAGGACAGTTGTCTGTGCAGATGTAGCCCTGCAGCAGGAAACAAAGGAACAGA